AAGAGATCACCCAAAACTGGCATATTCTCATCATTCAAACATTTCTAAAACCTCAACTTTGCAGCTTTTTCCTTAAGTTTTTCTCTGTGTTTTTTCCAGTGACACCAGATTAATTATACCCCCATACTTTTGCTCACATTAGTAACCATTTTTCATCTATTCAATCCCATTATTCTTCAAAGTCCTTTATCCTCTGTGAAACCTTCTGAGACTACTATAGCACACACTGATTTACCCTCCATTTGACCTTTTATTCTGTTTTAATTATATACTTAACAATTATTAAAACAAATTATTTACCACTTTTGAGCCTTAGTTTATTCACTTATGAAAGAATGATTTACCACCTTATTTGCCAAATAAGGCAATTTACCACTTGCCTTATTTATTTTAATCAGTCTAAAGGAGCTACCACAAAACGATTTCATTAAAAATAATGACCATGTGAGGAGGGGGAAAAACCCTCCAAACAAATTGGTTGAAATGAATAACTTAAAAACACCATAAGCTCTTTCTAAAAATTAATGTATCTTTAATCATTTTTGCCTATTTTTTCAGGTTTTATAAAAAGTCCTCTACCTTTTAAAATCTACTTTATTTCAGCCAACTCTACCTCCTCTACACAATCTGTAACAGAATATTATTGAAAACAACCAAAATGACCAATAGTTGGTTAAATAACTACAAAATACACATAACAGAATCCCATGCAGTCATTTAAAATGATACTGCAGAAATCTATCACACAAAGATGTTTATGGTATATTGTTATGTGGAAAAAAATAGATTGTAAAATGGTATTAGTCCAATCCTATTCAAAAATATAAATGTTTTAGAAGGACATAAAAGACACATATTAAGGGGTTAATCTGAGTCATATCTGAGTAACCATATTATGTGTGTTCATTTACTTATTCAATAGATTCCTAAACAACGTGTTGGTCACTATGCTAACTTCTGTCCTCAAGAATGTTATGAAATAGAGGTGCCTGGGTGGCTCAGTCATTAAGCGTCTGCCTTTGGCTCAGGAAATGATCCCAAGGTCCTTGGATAGAGCCCCACACTGGGCTCCCTGCTCAGCAGGAAGCCTGCTTCTCCCTCTCTCACTCCCCCTGCTTGTGTTCCCACCCTCGCTCTCTGTCTGTCAAATAAATAAATAATCTTAAAAAAGAACATTATTAAATATAGGAGAGACAATCATCCAAATAATCTAGAAATAAATGCAACCATTATAAATAATTTTATTAAAAAGAAGTATCTGTGCTATAAGCAGGCACAACAGGGAATATTCCAATGTTTTTCTATTCTATAATGTTTCTAAGAGTAAGAAACAGGCTTAAATAACTCTGGAAAACAGTATGGAGGTTCCTCAAAAAGTTGAAAATAGAGCTACCATATGACCCAACAATTGCACTAGTGGGTATTTACCCCAAAGATACAAATGTAAGGATCCGAAGGGGTATGTGCACCCTGATGTTTCTAGCAGCAATGTCCACAACAGCCAAACTATGGAAAGAGCCAAGATGTCCACTGACAGATGAATGGATAAAGAAGATGTGGTATATATATACAATGGAATATTATGCAGCCATCAAAATGAATGAGATCTTGCCATTTACAACGATGTGGATGGAACTGGAGGCTATCATGCTGAGAATAAGTCAATCAATCAGAGAAAGACATGTACCATATGATCTCACTGATATGAGGAATTCTTAATCTCAGGAAACAAACTGAGGGTTGCTGGAGTGGTGGGGGGGTGGGAGGCATGGGGTGGCTGGGTGATAGACATTGGGGAGAGTATATGCTATGGTGAGCACTGTGAATTGTGTAAGACTGTTGAATCACAGACCTGTACCTCTGAAATAAATAATACATTATATGTTTAAAAAAAAGAAGATAGTAGGAAGGGAAAAATGAAGAGGGGCAAATAGGAGGGGGAGACAAACCATGAGAGACTATGGACTCTGAGAAACAAACTGAGGGTTCTAGAGGGGAGGAGGTTGAGGGGATGGGTTAGCCTGGTGATGGGTATTAAAGAGGGCACGTATTGAATGGAGCACTGGGTGTTATACGCAAACAATGAATCACAGAACACTGCATCAAAAACTAATGATGTAATGTATGGTGATTAACATGCCATAACAAAAAAAAATAAAAAATAAATAAAATCTTTTAAAAATGTAAATTAAAAAAAACAGGCTTAAGTAACTAAATAAAAATGAATTAAAAAATTAAGAACCAGAAAGAAAACTCTGAAAAAAGGTAAAAATGCTTTAAAGTTGCAAAACTGCCTCATAGTGCTCTAAAATTATCAAATCATTCTCAATTTGTCTTTGTACATTCTACTAAAAATTATCTCCCAGCTACTAAATTCAAAGATTCCACCAAAAATTAAAGCCTGTAGTAATCAACATAAGATGGATACTAACCACAGGTAGAATTTAGTTCATTCTAAGTGAAGGTTTGTGGATGGCATACCTTATTCCAAAGATTATTCTACAAGAATGTTATTACTTGAAGAAAAGCTGTGTGTTCAAATAAACTTGAAAAATACTAGGTTAAACAAAACTAAACAGTTCCTTTTCCCAGAGTCCTTAAAACACAGGTCCAGAATAACCTATCCACAATTTTGAAGTCTAAAAGGTTCTCAATACTAAAGGTTTAAAAACAATTTATATGGTAGCAAAACCTAACATGAACTGTTCTGAGGTTCTTTATAGTCTTCATCTCATTTAATCTGACCATTCACACATTTTTCTGTAGAAATTATGTGTTTACACATAATTTGTGTTGGCTACCCCAACTCAACAGGGAATGTTACTTACTAAACATATACATCATAATATCCTTCTATAATCTGATGATTTCTGAATTCCAAACATATCTGATACAAGAGTGTTTTAAAATGCATTGTGAACTTATACTAATGCACAATGTGAATCTATCAGAGGAGCATTTCCACATTTTCCAAAGTTGTCACCATGGAGCTCACTTTTAAAAAGAGTAGAAAGAGGAAATTGGATTAGGGTTTGCCCAAAACTGACTGTAAAAAGCCACAATGTCTTATAACTAATAACGGAGGCCAGGGCAAAGCCTCAGAAAGACAAGTGTACTGAAAATAATGTAAAACAAATGGCTTTTTGTTGTTATAACATTTTATGTAACACTGTTAGAAAGGAGTTTAGTATCTGATAAACGAAGAGAATGGGCTTACCCAGTACTAATAAGGGAGAAACAAATTGTGTTTGCCAGATTCAAGAATTTTTGTTACTAAAGACTAACTTTCTAAAATCTGCTCTGAAGATAAAATTAGAAAGTATATATAGGCAAGTGCATTATTTTTTTTATTTCATGCCTGTAAGCTTTCTGTACCCACCTAATTACAGGGTACACAGGTACCTGCTGAATTTGCTTCTGAGTTTTTTTCATTCACTCATCTAAAACTGGACATGAAACTCCCACAGATTTTCTCTCTGATCTACAAAATTCTGATCTTCCATTTAAAAAAATGTAGCAACACTTTAATTGCTTACAATAGAAATTCCTTTTAATCCAATGCTTAGTTAATATTTTTACTCTGCTATTGGTATAGTTTGTATAGGAGCTACATCAGTATCGCCCCCTGTTAAGTCATAATTACCTTTGACACATGAATAGTAGGTCATGAATAAACACTTAATAAAAGGTTTCAGGTGATATTAATAGAACAGTACTGCACACTTTAGAACTGGAAAAATAATTCCAATTTAAAACTATTATTTAATATTTTAGAGGCTAACAATTCAAAGAGAACTTGCCAAATCAAACTAAATTTATATAGCCTAATGGGTTATTATAAAAGTTAAAAGGCTTATTTCTGAAAGTTACTTTAAAAAACTGTAGTTTTTCATCACCTGGGTCAATGTAGACCACTTTGTAATTTTCAGTTTAACAAATTATGCCTGTTCTTAATCGTAAATTCTATGCCTCCTTACCAACGATACACTATATACATTTTAAAATATATTTAATTGCATTTATTTAAATAACTATGGTATAACAGTGACTATATCAGCTAAACAAAATTCACTCCCTCATTTGACAACTCATCAAATTATTGTCAAATTTTAACTATCTTTTTTACTGAGGAAAGACATAAAAAACTGAAATCCACAAATAATCACAATAAACCACAACTCATTTTAGTAAACAATTCAAGTTTTTCCCAACCAGGCAACTTTTATAACTTTTTAATAAATGGAGTTCATCACTTGACAAACAAGACATAAACTGATTAAAAGGCAAACAACAGGAAAAGCAAAAACACCTGAATAATGAAAGAACAACCAACCACTGAAGACTGACTTTATAGGATTTTTTGTTATTGTTTAAAGACTTGTAACAAAACACGTATTTAAATTTGATGTAAAACAAATGTACAAATCCTCTTACAAAATTTGCTTAATGTCCTATTAGTTGATGTAATTTTTTTCCTTGTAATTCACAACATTTTTACTGGATATGAAAATATATACTGAAAACAGAGTGCTAAAAAATATATGATGTGGGAAAAAAACTGAAACCCAGAAAGATAATCTGACTTGCCTTGGTTTAAGTTGCTATGCACTTTATATAGTACTGGGAATGATATCTCCTGATATCAGTGCTTTTTCCATTACACTGTACTGCTCTTAGCCTGGGGAAAAAAAACACTTCTCATAAATGACAGGAACCATTACTTATGGAGAAACTGGTCCAGAGAAATGTAAAAACATAATGTCCAAAGATTTTGCAACTGAAAATTAAATTAAAATATACTGCACTAGTATTTTTTGTTAGTATACAAAACCTCTTCTGCTCTGGGTTTTAATCATGTGGAAGAATATAAAACCTGACCCCCTAAACACACACACACACACACACTCTTTCCATTCTGTCAGAGCCTTCCATGATGCCTAACTGGAAGAACAACATGAAGTGTGCTTAAATGTAATCCTCACCCATTTGTGTTAGCTTACCAGATTTGTGCTTCTTGTGTTTTGCTTTCTTTTTGATGATCAATAACTTATTCTGGATCTCAGGTTTGTAAGATTTGAATGCCAGAGAATGAAGACTTTCACGCTTTCTCTGTAAGTTTTCATTTAAAACATCTTTCAATTTCTTTTTTTTCTTTTTCTTCTTTTTTGCCCTCATTTTAGTTAGTTTGATTTTCTTGTGACTCTGCTCTAATAGAATGTCCCTTACAACTTTGTGGCAGTTAATTTCTGGATGATCACTGTGACTTCCATTTACATGTATTTGGCAGGATTTTAGAGCATTTTCTTTTAATGGACTGGGTTCAGGCTTTACTCTGGAAGCTTCACCATATTTTTCTTGATTTTCTATAAACCTTATTTCACCTGGACTAAGAGGCTCTCCAAAGCCAGTAACTTCCCCTGGACTGCCCGGTTCCTCTAAATTTTCTTTATAACAATCAGTTTTTTTAATTTCACAGGGCCTGCGAATTCTAATTTCACAGCTGGATTTCACATCCATTTCAACAGAGATGTCATGATTATCCAGGTTCATTTTAGCAGAACCCCAAGTTGCATCAAAATTAAGTTCCTGCTCTTTCTTGAAGCCAGAGGGCAGGCCTCTACTACACCTATGTTCTCCATTACTTGTACTAACATAGTGACACTTCAATTTCTCCAGTTTAATCCGAGGTACTCTTTGTATTTTAATGGGTGGAACTGGAAATTCTGGGGCCTGAAAAGGTCTCTGTTTATAAATCCGTACATCTGCACCACAGAACTGTGGAAAATGCACATAAGCATTCTCTAAATAATCATAACCAAGGATAACTTCCCTGCATTCATGAATAGGCTGTCCAAGTACAGCATCTTGAACTTCTTTTTGTGTTTCATACACAAAGTCACAGAGACCCTTAAGTAACCACACTTTTTGGTAAAAAGGCAGTTCATGAAAAGGTTTTTCTTCCAATGGATTAACTTCTCCAAGAACTTTAAAAAACTGAGGACATAACCCAAGCTTTTCAGCACAGTTATCAGGATTTTCAGTCTGCCCTACAGCAGTATACCACTGCTGTACTTTCTGTCTCAGTGCTGCTTCCCAAGTCCTATAAGGCAAAGTAGGTCTTCGATGTAAGGTAGGTCTGCGATGAGGAGGACTTAACAGAGAAGTCATTATTTTAGAAAGAAAAGCATTACACTGAGGCATCAGAAGACAACGTTCCAATTCATAAAAGACTATTTCTGGCAAATTTAGAATTTGCTGGGCTAAACAAAGAAAATGCCCAATAGCTGGAATTTCCCACATGGTCTCCATACATGTTGGAGCTGCTTGAGCCAGTAGTTTTCTTTCCCATTCTTCTATTTCCTTTTGACTAGCTTCTTCTGCTTCTTTTCTTTCCTGCTCTCGAAGCCTAAAGAAAATTTAACAAGTTATACATTATTAAACCAGAAAATACCAGAAAATACCAAATTTTTGGTGTCATATTAACCTTTAGTTAACAAGGCAACTGGCTGTTCTAGTTTTCAGCATCAGTACAAAATGTCCCATTAGATGTACCATTATATTTCTTCAGATGATGAAATACACATATAACTTGACCCTGGGTTTTCTCACTGACATTACTGCCACCCAAAGCAAAATTCAACTTATGACTATATCAACTTCAAAGTAAATGAAAAAAATTTTTAAGCATATTTACTAAACAAAAGCACAGTTTACTTTCTAAAAGTAATGTGATGTCATATAAGAGCTATAAAAATATTTACATCCTTTGACTCCATTGAATCACTCTTAGAAAGTATACTCAGATTGTGTTTGTCAGTGTTAACTGGTCAGCGTTAACTTTTAACCATATAAGAAAATCAAAATTATAAAGAAGTTGTATTATTAAAAATATAACTACCCTACAACCCAGCAATTGCACTACTAGGTATTTATCCAAAGGATACAAACATAGTGACTTGAAGGGGCACCCCAATGTTTATAGCAGCAATGTCCACAACAGCCAAACTATGGAAAGAGCCTAGATGCCGATCAAGAAGACGTGAGACAGATAGACAGAAGATAGAAAGACATATAGATAGACTGATAGATGATGAACTATTACTCAGAAATCAAAAGGAATGAAATCTTGCCATCTGCAATGACGTAGATGGAATTAGAGGGTATTATGCTAAGCAAAATAAGTCAGAGAAAGAAAAATGCCGTATGATTTCACTCATGTGTGGAATTTAAGAAACAAAATACATGAACATAGGGGAAGGGAAGGAAAAATAAGATAAAAACAGAGAGGGAAGCAAACCATAAGTTAAGAGAGACTTAACTATAGGGAACAAACAGGGTTGCTGGAAGGGAAGGGGGTGGGGGGATGGGGTAATTGGGTGATGGGCATTAAGGAGGGCACTTGAAGTAATGAGAATTGGGTGCTGTATGCAACTGATGAATCAGTAAATTCTACTTTGAAACTAATAATACAACATATGTTAATTAAATTGAATACAAATAAAATTTTTTTAAAAAATTGTAATAAAAACAAAAATGCATAAAGGATCTGAATTGACATTTCTCCAAAGAAGACATACAAATGAACAATAAGGACATGAAAATAATGTTCAACATTATTATCCATTAGAGAAATGTAAATCAAAGCCACTATAAGATAGCTATTCATACCCACTAAGATGACTATAATAAGAGAGATAAGAAGTATTGGTAAGAGGGGATGGAGCTGGATGGCAGAGGTGTAGGAGACCTGGATTTCGTCTGGTCCCAGGAATTCAGCTGGATAGGGAGCAAACCATTCTGAACACCTACGAACTCAACAGGAGATCAAAGAAAAGAAGAGCAACAACTCTCTGAACAGAAAAGTGACCACTTTCTGGAAGGTAAGACATGAGGAAAAGTAAATCCAAGGTGATATTCGGGAGGATAGACGGCGGGGGAGGGGGCCTCTGTCCAATGCTTCTAGCAAGTAATAGAGCCACGGAGCACAAAATCAAAACTTTTAGAAGTCGGCTCCACTGAGGGACGACACTCCAGTGGCTAAGTGGGGGGGTGGAACCCTCACGTGACTGTGGTCTGAGGACCCTTGGGGTCACAGAAAGACCGGGGCTACCTGAGTGTGGCAGAGCTCCCAGGTATTGGAGCAGGCAAGCCAGCTGCAGAGACAGAGCCAAGGAGTGGGCTCTCAGCTCGGGGTAGCCATAAACCCTAATCCACAGCACACTCGGGCCCTTGCTGTTCCAGCAAGGACCCAATAAGGGGCAGATCCGGGGAGACTCCCCCTCCACCCCCGGGAGGAGCGGCCGGGGAGCGCACCGCAGGGATCTGCTGGGTTTGGAGAATCCACACAGGGTCAGGTGACAGAGATAGAAACGCTCGGTCACAGGCCGGGTGAGAATGGAGCACAGCCAGAAACCGAGGAGAAGGGAGTAACTGCTTTTCTCTGGGGGAGCACTGAGGAGTGGGGCCCCAACTTCTTGGCTCCTCTGGGGTGGAGTTTGGGAGGCTGCCATTTTCACTCTTGTCCTCCAAAGCCAAACGAAAAGCTTGCAGGGAACAAAAGCTCCCGAGAGCAAACCTAAGCAGATTACTTAGCCAGGACCGCAAGGGCAGGGCAATTCCACCTCCAACAACGACATTTGAGAACCACAGCAACAGGCCCCTCCCCCAGAAGATCAGCAAGAACTGCCAGCCAAGACCAAGTTTACCGATCAAGGAGAACGGCAGAACTTCAGAGATAGGGGAATACTGCACATAGAATTCATGGCTTTTCTACCATGATTCTTTACTCTTTCAAAGTTAATTTTTTTAACTGTCTTTTTATTTTTTGAATTTTTCTTTTTCCCTTTTTCAACCAACATCTTATCAATCCCTTTTTTAAAAAACATTTTTAATTTATTTTTATTTTTAGAGTCATATTCTACCCCTTCACAGTAGTAACCTTTATTTTTGGCATATATACATAAGTTGATCTCTCTTTAAATTTTTTAGATACAGTTTCTTCTAACAGATCAAAACATACCCTAAATCTCTAGTGTATGGCTTTGTTCTAGTCTCCTGCCTGATCGTATTCTCTCCTTTTTTTTTTTAAATCCTCTTCTTTCTTTTTTCAAGCAACTTATCAATTCCTTTTATAAAATCTTTTATAATTTCATCTTTACAGTCATATTCCATCCCTCAACGTATTAACTCTTATTTTTGTACATATATAAGTTTTTTCTTTTTTTCTTTTTTAAAGATTTTATTTATTTGACAGAGAGAGACACAGCTAGAGAGGGAACACAAGCAGGGGGAGTGGGAGAGGGAGAAGCAGGCTTCACGCAGAGCAGGAAGCCCGATGCGGGGCTCGATCCCAGAATCCCGGGATCATGACCTGAGCCGAAGGCAGACGCTTAACGACTGAGCCACGCAGGCGCCCCATAAGTTTTTCTTTCTTTAAAATTTTGGGAGGCACTTTATTCTAACAGACCAAAATACACCCAAAATCTAGTGTGTGGCACTGATCTATGCACCAGCTTGATCATATTTGATCATATTCTGTTTTTTTTATTTTGTTCTATTCTGGTTTGTTTTTGTCTTTTTCTTTGTCTTTTTTTTTCTTTCACTTTCTTTTCTCCCAGTTTTAGGTCTTTTCTGATTTGTTTAGAGTATATTTTCTGGGGACATTGGTACCCCATTAGCATTTTGTTCTCTCATTCATCTATTCTCCTCTGGACAAAATGACAAGAAGGAAAAAATCACCTCAGAAAAAGAACAAGAGGCAGTACCGATTGCCAGGGACCTACTCAATATGGACATTAGTACGATGTCGGAACTAGAGCTCAGAATGATGATTTTAAAGATACTAGCTGGGCTTGAAAAAAACATGGAAGTTATTAGAGAAACCCTTTCTGGAGAAATAAAAGAACTAAAATCTAACCAAGTCGAAATCAAAAAGG